AATAGATTAAATCATATTAGTGTAGTTCAATAAAATATTCTATTGAAAGCTATCTATGCCAATTGCTAAAACTAAAGTATACTGATCTGGGGGGATTTTATCACACATGAAAATCTACAAGTATTAAAAATTTATTTTATTGCAATTTTAAAAAAATCATAAAAAATACATTTAAATGTATCATGTATTAAATTGCCCAATATAAGCAGTTTTAAAAGCAGAGGTTTTTTGAAAACTGGTTCAGAGTGTTTCCCTGACAACCTGTGCTAGTTCATACTGTTGTTTTAAGTGCTCTACAGCTGTGAAGAGATAGACATTAAATCCTCCATATATTAATGATAATCCCTCGATATCGTGGATCAGAGACAATATTAACGCATGCTGGGACGAGGGCACTCTTCGACTTAACGCTGCGAGGCACTTTAAATGACCATAAAAATGTAAACATATATCTTGATATAAACTATAGTCTAAATACGGTGAGCATCGTTTACTTTTCAACGTAGAAATCAATGTTTGTAAAGCTTTGATGCTAGTGTTTCTAGTTTCTTGTAGTATCTCTTCCTGCCACATCTCCAGCGACTTGATTTTCGAGATCCACCCATGTAACGCATTGCCAGCATGGTTAATGATTTCGGTTCTTTCGAGGTAGCAGTTAGATTCCCTCTTGTCATATAATTTATCTTCTTGTTCATCATCTTCCTAACAAATTTATAAAGAGAAAAATTCTATTTGTTCACGCATAATTTGAATGCAGACTGCACATGACTGCAAGTGTTCTAACTACCATAATTTTTCCCGCCAAAATTTTGTATGGAACATTTTGGACATTTTATGTAATTTTCAACATTTTCTTCATTAATTTTACGCCAAAAAGACATAAATTCCCATTGCTACATATCTTAATCAGAATTTTTGAAAAAATGTGAAAAACTTTGTGAAGGATGTCAAAAGTTGACTTTGACCTTCAAAATGTTATTATTGCTAATTATTCTGCAGATTTGTAATAGGTAACAAACCTGAAAATCAAAAATTCAAGAATTTTTTTGTTATTATATTCAGACTCGAAAAAAGTTGTATCGTCAAACTACAGTCACTAATCATTACCTGATTTATCTCAACCACGGGAATATCAATTACATGCGAATGTATAAATGCAAATAACGCCATCCAGTCTCTGTTACCATGGTGATGTATAATACTATGGAAGACGTTTTGCATAGCAACTGTACTTTGTACTTCTGTAAATCCAGTATTAGAGATTACGGGCACGATAGACTGGCGTATCTCTTTGTGCTCATCTTGTAACAAAAGTATCACTGATTTCCACAGCAAAAGTGGCATGTTCCCTGCAAAGTTAAAAATGTTGATACATAAACACAGTGTTTCCGCTACCGTTCACCAAATCACCAAGTGGCGAAAAAAAAATCAGAATGGCTAATAAAAAGTTTCTCCAATTCGTCATTTGGCAATTGCTAAAATTATAACGAAATTGAGTGAACTTTTTCTATTTGCCTGCCAAGAAAGATTTCCGCGTGAAAAAAATCGAAACACGTAAACACTTGTCTAATTATCATAAAACAACTATTTTGTAAGGCTGATTCCAATTGGGTATCTTGTGACCTCATTTCGTTTGTTATCCAATAGCGTGCGCTGTATTATATGAATGAGTCATCATAACATTCTTTTAAAATGGCTGCCAATATGCAAGGCTCCGCTTGTAGCAAACAAATTTATCAGGGTACGCTTTACAGTTTCATAGAAGGACAAGTAAAACCACCTCCTTCGAAAAAAGACAAGTCTGAGGGTGATTACGAAGTTCAAATAAATGTCACAACAGATGACAAACCGAAGAAAAATCAAGGTCCTGAAAGTACCAAGAAAATGGGAAGTCGCGTCAACCATGGAGCTAAAAAAAGATAGCTTCATGCGTCAACCGAGGTGTGCGTGATGACTGGGTTAAATCATATCCATGGCTAGAACTTGATGTTTTGTAAAGAAACAAGTAAACGTAATATCTTCACTAATGGATGTGATAAACTGAAACTTGACAATGTGAAGAAACATGCATCGACAAGGGATCATAAACAAGCAATGCAAGATAAATTTCCATTCACGGGATATGAAGCATGCAATGAAAAATGCTTTTTTCCGAAGCGAAGCCTGCTGTATTGGCAGGCCTACGCAGTGTGTACTGGTACGCCGAGAAAAATATCACCAATGTAAAATTGACATTTATGCATCTATTGCAGACTATTATGTAATACTAATGTTAA